ATCAAATTCATTAAAACATTTTGAGGAATTTTATTCCATTCCTCTTTTAAAGCATCCTCAAGTTCAAGTTCTTTAAGATTGCTTAGACTGTTAGGACTACTTCTAATACGGCATACAGTTGTGGTGGGAAGCCAAGTATTTAGAAATACTTCTATATGAGGCTCCACTTTTATAAAGACCAACTATTTGTCCGCATTGAACTTCAGTTAAATTAGACTTTTTTTTTTTTGAAATTTAAAATTTTGAAGATTTTTTTTAAAAAAAATATCTTAAAAAAATATCTAATAAAAAATATTTTTTCAGAATCACCAAATTTGAGTTTTCATATACAAAATTTCCAAAACATACAACAGAACCTAGATGATGCATGGGATTTTGCATAAATATTCACAGGAACCTAAGCCGCAAATGATATAAATTTCATATATGTTTATTGTGTATATTTTGCGCGATTAACAAAAGCAAGTGTTCTGAAACTTTTGTCCAGGTACTGTAATTCTGAATAAAAATCCAGAATAAAATTACCTCAACCATCAAAATACTCGCTAGTTTGTCAGTTAGCCAGGGCAATGTTTACATCGCATACACAATTATAATTACTATCTAAATATTTTACATAATAGTAGTGAATTCTATATCACATTAAATTAATGATATTGGAGTTGTTTTCGCTCGTTTCATTACATACACTGGCAGAAAATTGTTATTTTGTTATTCATTGGGAATAGACGTACGTACTATTTTGTCTTGTATTTTTGTGATTGCATTCATTTATTAGAATTACAGAAGGATTATTTTCGCAACAATGTGAATTAGCCGACTTCACAAGTAATATAATTTCAATTGTTATATATAATTCGGGTGATTTCGCTGGGATTCTATCAGTGTCTCAAGATTCATATTTCAATTATAAGAATTACTATAAACATTACTTACTACTGGTCTTAATTTTCAAAGATATTAAAGATCAAGCATTATTTGCTGATTCACTAATATTAATTCTCATGCTTGTTTGCTTTATGGAACAATTACATTAACAATACTAAGATTTAATTATGATTTCAAATTAATTAATAATAGTCTTTTTGTCACTAAAAAACCTAGCAATGAATACAAATGAATAATGAATGATTTAGAATTATGCTTTTTGAATTATCTTGAGGTTTGTATTCATATTGAACTGCGATAATAAGATCTCCTTCACGTCATAATAGATCAAAAAAAAAAAAATATAACAGGATCCTCGAATGGAATTGGAATCCAGTACGATTCCTCGATAACCGTTTCTCTAACAGGGTGTTTCCCCGACAAGACGTTTCCCCAGAAACTCAACAATGACGCGATATGATCATCAAAGAAATATTATTAGAAATATCCTGTCGGGGAAATATGCGCGACCCGCATCTTGATTCATTAAATTCTAAAATTTAATTTAATATTTATCAATTCTAATAATCCCTAAAAAAATAAATTTCTAAATTGGAAAACTTTCGCAAGACAAAAGTAACAGATTATTATTTTGAAGCAATGTATATGACCACATTTGAATCAAGAAAATTTTTTTATTAGATTAAAATTACTAAAATCAATAAATTTCATAAAATTAATAACCTCTTCATAAAAATGTCTCAATAGCCATCTTTGTCTTTCATCTTCTAAAAAGCATATATATATAGACCTTAATCCAAAAAAAAAATCGATTTGACGTAATGTGATGAAGAAGTTAATCAAATATCAACTGATGGGATATCCTTTTGTACTAAATGTAAGTGGTTAAACTATGCATAATGTTTCAATAAATGAGGCTTTGGAACTGCATTTAATCTTCTTGAATAAGATAATTTGCAAGTAGATTATAAAAAAAAAGTAAAATAATATTATTTGTCAATCACGTTCAATCATTCTCTTGTTTCTTGTCTTGTTTCATAAATCCGTTGAAACGAGATTTGATTGTGACGATCTATGCAAAATTTGTTACATATAAAAGCAAATATTTAGATCTAAATTTTCAACTAATTATAATCATTATGATATAAATATATATTAAAGAACTTAATCTTGGCTTGGGGGCCTTATACCTGATTTTTGTTTATTATCAGTAAAGGTTTATGAAAAATATATAAAGAATTATAATAATAACTTATCCAACATTGTATTTATTTTTAATTTTTATTAATTATTTGAAAGACTTCCAATTCATCAAATTTACCACCATTTACTATATTGATATTATTATAAGCCATTGGTTTACTATTGATTTCACCATTTGAAATAAACCGGACATCATCACCACTACCAAATCTAGGTAAGTCAGAAGAATAACAATAAATTGCGTTGCCATAATTATTATTGATAACATAACTGAAATTAATATCTTTCCTATTGCTTATATTAAAAATAAAACTTTCTTTTGTATTTTTATAACCACTTCCATTCCAATTAAGTGGATTATAACCACCAACTATTTGTATAGAATTTTGTAATTTACCAACTACAAGAGTTTTGTTGATGTTATCACATTTTTGGTGAAATGCATTAGTATTTAAACCATCTCTGCTGCTACGATATAGAAGCTTAAATTCATATTTGACTTCCTTGAATGAATCATAGGGTGGACTTTTCCTATCAATCCAACTTGCAAAAAGAAAAGCAAGTTTGTAATTAATTGTTAATGATTCAAGTTTAGGTTTTCTTGATGGTAATAAACTTAATGTTTGTTGTCTATCAGGAAAAAAATGATATTGTGAAAAGGGTTTCCATAAAGTTCTAGGTAAAAGCATATGATATGGTTCAATTTTATCAAAAAAATCATCTTTAGAAATATCCTGGAATCTTATCAGAGAAAGGAATTCTTTTAATGTGTTGCCTAAATCAACAAAATTTTGTGATGACCAATCTTCAACATTAATATTATTGATTTCTGGATGTTTTGCTAATCCCCATTTAAGAATATTTTCCCAAATAACCATCTCATCAACAAAAAAATCTTCTCTTTTGAGAATTTCCAAAAGAACTGGTTTTCCCAATGATTTAAATTCACTTGATTCAAATAATTTTTCACTATATTCACAAAATGCATCTAAATAAATATTTTTCAATTCCTTAAAATTTTCATTAGCATAAATCAATTGCAGAGCCTTAACTGGATTTTCTTTTATATGATCTTCATAATTTTCAATAAAGAATTTTATCATATATTCATAAAGTGACTCAATGCCAAGTTCATCTACAGCAATTAACAGTTCTAATATTTCAGCTCCAGAACAATTTTCAAGTTCAATTTTACATGTATATAAAAATCTTCCAAAATAACAAATTATTAAACAGGTTATTAATATCATTATTTATATGTTCATTAATAATAAATAAATAAATAAAATTTTAAACTCACTTGAGAATAGGTTTGAAACATTTTTCACTAATATTAGCTTTTGTAACAATATAATAGCCATTTTCTCTTGTTGCATTATTTAATGCATTTCTAAAAAATGGACAATGAGCTGATATGATGGATGTATGTGCATGGACTTCTTTAATGTTTGGTTCTACACCAACTTTTATCTTTACATCATAAAAATCTTCAGTGCTTAGTAATCTTTCATTCTCATTAAAATACTTTTCAAATAATAAATTCATTTTTTTTTAAAAAAAAAATGAAGGATGATCAGCACCAATCATATTTTAACCAATTAATTTATTTTAATTAATCTTATTAAAACTTCCAATTCATCAAATTTATTGCTATAAGAGTCTGTTATTATAACCATCTATATTAATATGTTTAAGGCCTTGCTCAAATGGCAAATAATCATTATTATCATTATTAATCAATGAATCATCATTACTTACAGCAAGTATTAAATTTCGTTATAAATCTTTGGTATACAAACAACTATCGGTACTAAATCAATTTCACAATGAACTGCATGCTAATATAACTAATCTGTGTAGTATTAATGCCATTTCTATTAAACATAAAATTTCTGGATTTGGGAGAGAACTTTTTTAGGTATTGGTACAGAGAATTTGTTAGATTCAGCAGAAGATTCAGAAATTTGCTTTTGA